CTGAGAGAACCCTATTCTTACCCCTAATGCCATGGCCCGTCTGGGAGGTCCAGCTAATGTATAAGTTACACGTACATAGGCTCGAATGTCGTTGGCCCTCCTCCTGTAAACGTCCAGTCGAAGTCTTCCTATACGCACCCCGAGGGAATTTTGGCAGGCTCTTTTCGGTGTATCATTCTTTACATTCCTTATGCATTGGTGCATATAGAGCACCACGGCGGGGGGATTTAGCCAGGGCCTCTATCCTCCTAGGCGTGGAGGCACAATATGTATGACATGACGATTCATTTTTATTGCGAGATGAAGGTTTTTTTCTCCCCAGTTGATGTTAATGAACAGTCAAAGTCCAGCGCCTATTCACTTTCTGTTCAATGTTGAAGTGATGTCAAAACCAATTCGGTATTTTGGTCCAATCTCCTATATTTAGCTACGTGCTGGGGTATAGATTTCCTATATGAAAAGCGGCCCTGGCTGCCCAATAACAAGCGGACGGTGTGGTCGAGTGGTAAGACGTCGCGTTGTGGCCGCGCCAGCCTGGGTTCGATTCCCAGCACCGTCATTTCACCCTTTTTTGGTTGGTTTTTTTTTTTTTTTTCCTGGCTTTTGGTTTTACTTTAACCACGACTTGCTTTCATTTTATGAAAAGAAAATAAACGTAAAGGGGTATTTGACCTTTTGGTTATATGCGATTTTTGAAGCAGCGACAGTAAGATGCGGTATCAGTCAGCACTTGCTGTTGAATTCTTACATCTAATACCAACACATAAATATAGCATTAGCGGCAAGAAGTGTGAAGAGGGCGTAATGACAATCTATCTATAATAAGTTTATTTATACAGAATATAGCTACCAGATAATAATTTCTGTGGATATTCATCTTCTTCTGCTACATGGGTTGTGCAAAATCTGGTGGAGGGAAAGACAATAGTATTGTTGTGTACTGATGCATACCGTACCGTATGTAATGGGCGCGTATCTGTTCCCGTTCCTCAAACGCTTACCAACTTTCAGCCCAGTCAAAACTCGTTTCAACTCTCCACCTCCAGTCCATCACCTCTCTTGTTAACCATCTCCTGGCCTCAACCACCATCAGTGTCCCTCGACCGGTATTTTTTGCTGCTGAATACCTACTCCATTATCGCTTTGCTACTATCAAAGACTTAGACTTCCTTTGGACTGCTTTTTATTAGCCAGGACAGACTGCTCTGCATCATAATTATTGCCTACCTAGCAATCGCACTACCGCCACCATTATCCATCACGCTCGCGCGGAAAAAATAAAAACTTCACAATCCAACTAGCCTACGCTACAGATAGGCTTTTACCCATCTACTACAACCAAATTTTCGTTCATCGCAGGACACGGGAATCGGCCGAGCCGCGCTTGTTACCATCTTGTCTGGGATATTGGCGTGGGTAAAACCCAGATAGAGCCTCATCCGTTGATCTGACACACCAAAGCTCGCCCTCAAACTCCATCTCTATCAACTCCCTTTCGACTGCAGTCCGTACCATATCTTCCACCACCGCAGGACAAATATTCAGGACGTTAGCTAGTATCTGTGAGAGGAGTCTGGATTGGAGGCACGTTGGCTCAGTCCTCCACGGTCCTTTTTACCCCTTCGTGTCATATTAGGTTTCGACGTGG